TGTTTTTACAGAGGGGTTAGTATGTTCTTATGCTACTTTCTAAACTTTGTTTTTGGTCCACTCACCTTTTTAATGTTTTGCGCCCCCAGGCAGTAGTCGTGCGTCAGTGCGCCACCACCGGGCCGAGTCCATTTTCCGCCGCCTTCCTTGACAAAGTAGGGTTTTGTTTATTTATTTTTGTACTTGTAACCTACTCTGTATAAATGCTCTGATATTGCCCTAGAACACTTGTCTAACTGTTAGTATGTAAAATCTTTGTATACTGGCAGTTGGTGTATATTTTTATATGCATGTTTGACAGGTGTAATCTTGGGTTTGGTCCATTTCAGGGGAGACTCTGCTGAGTTTTTCGGCAGAAGTCAAACTCCAGTTGTTTTAGAAATTGTTTGACTAGAAGGGCAATTAGGTCATTTGTGCCCGGCACTTGCCAAGTGTCGGACACGCACAGGGTTCGGCTCGGATTCCAAAGTGGAATTTGGGTCGGGTCCTGTCATCACCGCCTTGACGAATTTCAACCAAGACTTGGTGAAATCCTTCAGCATTCCGATCAGAGATCCCCAATTTGGTGACTCTAATATTTTTATCCATTGGTGGGAAGAGATGTCGGCCAGTTGGTTTTCTCAACCATGTTCGGAGATTGAAGGTAGAATCTTCAGGCATTGCCCATGCTCATTAACCTACCAGCAAGAGAAAGAGAAGAAGAAGGCCCAAGCAAAAGGTAAAATATTCACACGTTTTCTCATTTTAATTTTGGCTATCTTCCTACTTTCTAACTCTTCAAATCTCACAGCTGACACCGCTGGGAAGGAAAGTCCTCCTGCCGACATTGTTGAGAGAAAGAACTTCGCCAATCCCGCCGATGCTAATCTTAGGCGGGGCGAGAAAAGGCACAACGGCCCCGTCCAAGGTAAACTACTCTCCATGATTATTTTTGCCTTTTTTGAAGATTTGCATTTCCATCCTTCTGATTTTTTTTTCATGGGCATCTCTAAAAAAATTAAATCTCCTAATTTTTAGCAGATACCCCTGCTGGAAATATTGTGCCCCCACAATCATTCCTTCAGCCTAGAAAAGCTCCGCGCATCCTCTTGCCTCAAGGTTTGGCCGTGCACCCCCCCCCCGGTTTATTTATTTATTTTTTAAACTTACGAAACTTGTTGCAGGTTCCCAAGGCTGGCGGAGCAACCTTCTCCTTCTCATTCGATTGGGGCCGTGCAATCGGCCACTACTTTGCACGTCGCTTCGGTAAGCTTATATCTCTGCGTACTTTCATTTATTAATTCTACTGGCCCAAACTCACTTCTACGCCCCAAAATATAGGAAATTCAACCTTCCGCACTTGAGACGGAAATTAGGGCGCAAGTCATGACTTCGGTGGGCAAGGATGAGGTAGCTTCATTTTCTTAGCCGTTTGAATTTTCTTTTACTTCTTTTATGCTTAATACATTTTCAAACTTAGTCAACCGAGGTCAATTCCATTGGACACCTGGAAGAGGTTTCCACAGGGTCACATGAGACTACTCCCATGCCCGAGGATCACGCCCTGGAGCACGTGACCGGGCTGACAGAGGAAGACTTCCCACACGTTCCAAACTCTCAGGTTCATTGAAATTTCCTATTTTCAAAATTTCTTCTATACTTGCCCGCAACTTCTTATTTTCAACGTTCGAACATGTTAGCGGGCCATTTATGGCCCTGAACTTTCTTCGGCCGACACCGCGGCCATTGAGGCTGAATTTCAGCCCATTTTCCCCACCGAAGAAAGTGCACCACCTGAGCCCATCCTTATGCTGACATCGGTAGCTTCTGCCTTGGTGGTTGATGCTATTCCGTCCGAACTCCAACTTGAGGTAAGCCTCGACACTTTCATGCTTATTTCAAATATATATGCCATTATTTTAACCCTCATACCCTTTTGCTAGGTTGGAGAGTCTTCATCCTTTACTCCTGCCGAGATTACCATAAATCCATCAGCGGTGGATAGTGGAAGCTTGGCCTTGGTCCTTCACGAAGAAGCACCTCAATCATCCCCTAATCAGGTATGAAAACAACCAATATATACATATATAAATATGCAACTTACTTTCTCTACTTGAAAATATAATGCCCAGTTTTTCTCGTAGCCCTCTGGTGACATTTTTGGCTTCCTCGATCAGTGGGATGCATCTATATCTTCAACATAAGCTTCTGCTCTTCTTGCCACTTCTTCCACCACGACTGGGGCCTTACCAGATTCCGGGGCTGAGGCCCTCCTTCAGTCATACAGAGATAGAGACCTCATGTCCTTAGAGGACAAGGATGAAAGGGACAAACTCAAGGCTGCCATTGAGACTTTGGCGAGCTCTGGCTTTTTTTCAAACCCATGCTCGGACGCTATGATCACATATCTCTTTGGTTAGGTGGAGAAGTTTGTCTCCCGTCGCCGTTCTCTTCTGGAGGAGCAAAGGATGGGCCAAGATCTGGAGCAGCGGATTACCTCACGTAATGCAATCATGAGGAAGGAGATCGAGATTGCCCACCAAATACAACAGGAGGTCGCAGATATTGATGAGCAGGTGAGGCAGCTTCAAGAGAAGAGGGCCGCCATTGTTGCCAAAGTCTTCAAGATTGCCTGGAGCGGCAAATTCGTCAGGATGCGGCAGCTGTGGGAGCGTACTGAGAGAAGAAGCTGACCCTTCAGTCTACCTTGTCGATCGGGGACGCTGCGGTGGAGAGCTTCAGGACTGCCCTTCGTACCCTTTTCCCTAATGCTTAGGTTCATACTCGGCCATTGGATGGCCCATTTTGTACTTAGCTAGTTCTGTTTTATTTGGTCACCATATGTGATAGAACTAACTTAGTGTTGAGGCCCAAAAAATCATAGGACAGGCCCATGCATATTTTAAAGCCCAATCGCTATCATGCTATAAAAAAATGGCCTAGCTGATGCACACATGCCATGCCAAGCAAGGCTACAATTTGGCACGTGGGGAGGCAGTGGTGTGAGTTTACCACTTTCACATGCAAACTTGTAAGAATTACAAGATTTCATAGGCCCAAGCCCACTTAGCCCACTGCAAAGCATTATCTAACGCAAAGCCTGAGCCACTGCAATACGACATAGCCCAAGCACAAGCACACGATAACGTGCAGTGCCAAGCAACTCCCTATTGTGTCAAATCTCGCAACAAGCCTAAGTGGGCCCAAGCCACTTAATTATACGCATGGGGCTTGCTGATTGGTTTGTGGTGTGGATGGTTACAAGTTACACAAGGCCATTGATGGCTCAAAAATGGAGGCTTTGGGCTGGGCACCAAAGCCAAGCCCATTTTCTTGAGTCATTAAATAGGTAAGCAGAGAGAGAGAAAAAGCCCAACACCATCACGTTCTGGGCGACCGGTCTCCAGTAATGGCGACCGGTCGCTTTTGCGCAGAATCGAAATTCCAAAACAGCACTAGAGCGACCGGTCGCTTGCACCTGGCGACCGGTCGCCGGTCGCTTTCCTGCGGCAAAACAAAGACCCAGCAGCAAAACAAAGACCCAGCAGCAAAACAGAGATCCAACAGCAAAACAGAGGTCCAGCGGACCCAGCAGCAAAACAAAGGCCCAGCGGCAAAGCAAAGACCCAGCAGCAAAATAGAGGTCCAGCAGCAAAACAAACATACGACAGCAAAACCAACTACCCGGCACCTAGAATAACTCATTGGCACCTACATAGAATGAAGAGGTCATGTCATCTCAGCTGGGAGGCAAAACGACCAAAAGGAAACGACCACCTCGAAGCCGGAGAGCAGGTCGGACCACCTCGAAGCCGGAGAGCAAGCCGGACCACCTTGATACCGGAGTGCATGCGTGTGGGGAAGCAAACTCGCAAGGTGTATAAAATGGCAAGGAAGCAAAGGAAAACACAACCCGAACACGACGAAAAGAACACCCAGAAACCCAGAAATCTATACCAAACTTAACCTCCTCCTGTGATCATATCCTTGGAAAGCCTCAGATATGACCCGATCACCCATTTTCTCCAGCAAGATCTTTGATACCAACCCAAGCAGCAATCTGTCAATCTCTCTCTCTCTGCTAAACTTGTGGAAACTTAGCTCTCGCATCACAAGCCTTTCAAGCCAAGCATAACTTTCTAATTCTTTTATCACAGTCATCACTCTCTTGGTGGGAAGAAACAGAGCATTCCCTGGAAATTTACATTTTCTCGGAGTGTTTTGGGCCTGGTTCTGAACTCAGGCAAAGGGGCATCACAATTAGCTCTTTACGACGGCCCAAGCCCGCCTTCAGTTGTCGTGACCAAAAAAGACCCCTACAATGAGATAGTGTTTTAATTAGCTAGATGCAGATTTTCATTTTTCAAATGCAGTTTTCAAAAAGAAACAATTTGAAAAACTCAAGGATGAAAAATATGAAGGTTACTCTAGAGGAAGAAGCGAAAGTTTGCAAAGAAACTTTCCAAAACTTGCCTCCCAAAGTCACAGTTGCCAAAAGAGGAATACAAAGGTTTTTACACAAAATTCCTTAGGTCAGAATCGACACATGGCAGCAGAGAGAGAATGGAGAATATGACAAAAATGCTGGAAATCCTACAGAGCAAGGATGACTAGTCATACGAGAAACAGATGACTAGTCATCATTTTATGAAATCAATTTAATGTTATGTGATGCAATACACAATTTACCTTTGTCAATTTGCTTGAACCTCCATAGGATAGTTGTTAGTTAAGAACACCTAGAGAAGCTATTCTTAATCTAAACTTGAGCTTGATAAAAACAATAGAAATCCTATTACAAAATTGTCAAGGGAAGCCAAAAGAAATACTCAAAATGCATACATTAATAGGTGTAATGAAGAGACGGTTGGCAGTGAAGACGCGTTAATGAAGTTACGGTTTTCGAGACGTTTTGTTTGTAATGAAATGTTTGGGCTTTTTTTTATAAAATTGGACTGGGCTTGTTTAGGGTGCTTTTTGAGTTTTTTGTGTTAGGCTTGATCAGGGTCAGTCTTATAATTTATAAAAATTTCAACACCAATTTCTTATGTAGTAAATGGATTTTGGGTGTGTTTCTAAAGTGCATTCCATGTGGGGATTTTTTTATATATAATTTCAACCCCTATTTTGGGTATATTAGTGAAACTCCCTAGAATTAATTTGACGTCTTCTTTTTTCTTTTTCTTTTTTTAAAAGTTTTTAGCGACTTTAAAAATTGCACTCCAAACATATATATAAATCAAATACACATGGCGCTTTATGATTGTTATATGTGCCGGTTCTATAGTTTTGGAATAAAACCGACCACAGGAAAATTGAAGTATCGTTCTTTCTTCCTTCTCTGATCTGGACTCGACGCTCAGCTCTCTCTCTCTCTCTCTCTCTCTTAGACAACCACCTCGTCTCGTCCGTGTCATCTCATCAATTCAATCCCAAATCAGCCTCCTCTCTCATCTCCTTCATCTCTCATCAGTATCAGACAACCAGATTATAGACAAACAATTTCTGATTTTTTTTTACCATAAGTTGTTCAAGCATGGTTTTTGTATTTTTGTGATCATAACCAGATTATATGAATAAAGTGTTACTTGCTAGTTTATGCTTTGAGTTTTTTTTTTTTTTTTTGGTTTATGTATTTTTTTTTAGGTTTCAATCCCTCATTTTTG